GAGAGAGAGAGAGAGAGAGTTGACCCCACAAATTCCAATTCACTTCCTACTGTCCACATTTGGCTTTGTGTTGTCCAAACCATGCTTGCCGTTATGTTATCATTGCTTCTGTACAGTGCACTTGTGTCACGGGGATGATAGCACATAATTAACTTGTAAGTTGTAACAGGATGTGTTTTCTGAACTAGGGAAGCTTCTGATTTTCATTTTTTTATATTCTGCAGAAATTCAACTTGCATAGCCATGGACGACACACAACTCATGTACCTGGAGGCTCACGACTTCTATACACTCATGAACGTTATTCTGCCACAGGTATGTGGTTCTTCACCTTCACGAAGCAGGAATGCATATAGAACATCGACTGAAAGCAGGGCCTTATGGTCCTGGCTCCTTACTATTGTTGGAAGCATTAACCGGTTCCTTTTCTGCCGGCAAGTCCCCATATACAACTTTCAGTGCACTCGGACACCTCCTTCCGTTATGGCCAAAGGAAACCCCTGTTTTTAAGTCACTCAGTGTTTCCTGTTTGTTCACTTTTCGTAACTATTTCTAAAGAGGGGCAGCCCCCAATATTACTTCATCCATCAGAAAATATGAAGCTATAGGGATGTCATACCTGCACCATGCATTAGAGAATAATGAAGGGGCATCCGCTTCCAACTTCCAAGGTTATGGAGAAAGAAAGAGGGGATGGAGAACAAGTGGCCAATTGCCAAGGTGGGAGAATGTAGGAAAGAAAACTGTGATGACAGAACAAGGGAGCAGAATCGGGTTTTAGGAAAAGAAGGTAGAAAGGGGGAGAGAAAGAGGGATTAAAAAAATGAGGTTGTGGGAGCAGGCAGTGAAAGGAGGTGTAAGAAAGAGAAAAAGAGAAAGGCAAGTGAATAGGAGGTAGGGCGAATAAAGGGGGGGGAAATGAGGATCAGGAGTGAGAAAGTGGTAGGAGGTTGCATAGTCAACAGGGGAGCTTTTTAGACTCCGCCCAGCTAGAGGAGGAAGTCATATGCTAGAATGCTCCTCTTACAGAGGTGATCCAAAAAGATCTCATCCTTCGTATGATTCTCGGAGTCACAGTAATCTCACAGTCTGAGCACAGCAGAGACTGAGAGAAATCGAAGAAGGAACAGGCAAGCTGACAGTGAATCCTCCCAATGTGGGAACGATCAATGCTTGTCAGGCATCATTCCGCCTTAACAGAAGGAAGCGTGCCAGGGTCCTGCTTTATCTTAAATGACCTGCCTCGGAATAGGAGCTGGACTAACACTCTCCCGACTATGGTGCCAGGACCATAAGGACCTGTTTGGAAACAGACAAGGAAAGTCAAGAACGCCAGGGAAGCAGTTCCAAATCAGACTACACTCCAAACTTGCGTCTAGCATGCATACACGCGAACTGATGGCAAAACCAAACTCTTTCAGCTCAGAATCAACAACGAACTTGAACTGAAACTCTGTTCAAGTCAACTGTACAACTTGCGGTAATGGCCGCTGAACACTGTCTCCACCACCAGCCTCACTGCCCCTCGTGTACACACGAACGAGGATCCACCCTGAATGTCCACTCACTGCACACACACACACACACTGTACACTCTGTTGACGTCAGCAGCTTGGCGGTTATGGCCGCCGTCGTCTTCCTCACTGCCCACTTCAGCTCCGAGCACCTGCAGACCTCCACGCACAAGTCACCAAGGCAGCGCTTCCATATGGCTCACAGGCGAATGAATGAATGGCTGGACACTGCCTCTTTATTTATACTGCTCCGGAGTTGGCCTGGCCTGGCTCCAAACCGCGTGGGCCTGGGCCCCAAACCGTGTGGGCCTGGGCCCCAGACCGTGTGAGGGTCTGGGCTGCCCAAACCGCGTGAGGCCTGGAAGCCTCCAGACACGGGGGCTGCTGGGCCAAAACGCGTGGGACTTCCACTTGCCCTGGGTACTTGCTGACTCAGACAGACTCTTCCGGAACCTAGAACCTACGGACTGTTACCTACGGACTGTTACCTACGGACTGTTACCTACGGACTGTTACCTACGGACTGTTACCTACGGACTGACTCTTAGGCCTACGAAGAGACAGGAAGAGACCTCCAGAAGGGCCCTAAGTAAGTATAATGGTAACATACTAACCTATGAACAAGAAGGTCTGTGGATCAAGTCTTGGCAGCTAACGACCAGACCTAGAAACTAACCTACGGGCTTTAGGGACAGGTCACAGGTTCGAATCTCACTCAGCACACAGGGTTTAGACGCAGGTCTAGGGATCAAATCTCAGGGTCTGCAAATGTCGGGTCAACTGGGTGAAACCGTTTCACTGCCGCCGTCCTAAATTTGAGGTCCTCCGAGAACACTCTAACTCAAGATAGGACCTTTACCCTTTCTTGCCCTCTCATAGGTGTGTACTATGTCGGGAGCGGTTTCTAAGAGCTCTGTTCGCGTAAACCACCGTTCGTCCTCTGGTTCCTGGTATGCAAACCGGACTTTATATTGCTTCTGGGGACGACCTCGTCCTCCGGTTCTGAACAAGCCATCTTCCACTATGCGATCTATGTCATAGGCACCATCCATATCTGACCGAATCATTGACCTTCGCGAAGGAAACTTGTTAGTGGTGGTGCAAGGCAGTAGTTTTGAGGCATGAAGACTGGGTACGTGTGGAGATGTGTTGGGATCTCTATGGTGTATGATGGTTCGTCCTCTCCTCCTTTCACTTCTAGGACGGGCCATGGTCCTCTGTACGCATGTAAGAGCTGCGATATGTTCTCCTCGGGTGCAAACTCCTTAGACTTGACCCAGACTAAGTCACCTACCTGAAACTACGAAGGTCGGCGATGCTTATTAGCTTGCTCGATCGTACGATGCTGGGCCTTTCTCAAATTGTCAATTACCCTGGCAACTTCCTTCTCATGCTGCAACGCAAACTCTCGGGTGTCAGGCAGTAGCCTGTGAATCTGATCCCGATTCAGTCCTTCAAATGGTCTCCTTGGCCTAAAGGACTTACGCAACTTATTGGGAGTTCTACAAGTAGCTAGATGAACCTGTTGTTAAAAGCGTTTGCTACCTTGGGAAGCATCTGCCAGTGTAATAAATCGACGATTAGAGCACCTCTAGGTCTTCTCAGACCTTTGCCTATCCCATCAAGACCCAGAGAGTTAGTCTTCATCGATTTCATGGATACTGGGGTCAGGAGTAGGCACGATAAAAGTCAAGTCATGGTCATAGTAGACCGATTTAACAAATATGCAGTTTTTGTTCCTTTGCCTTCAGAGGCACGCACAAATTTAGTGATAGGAAAGCTCTTCGATTTCTAGATAACCAAGCACAGTGGAAGCATCTCATCCTAGTTCACCTGATCTGGTCTAATGTACATTCTGAGTAGTTGCTGCAAGATCTTATTCATCTGTTCCGTTTGACCATTTGTCTCTGGATGACGGCCTAACGACATTAAAAGCTTAGATCCTTATACTCTCATAAGATCCTGCCAGTTCTGGCTGGTAAACGGCATGTCTCTGTCACTAACTATGGACAATGGTAGACCGTGCTCGCTTACCTAGAAATCGAAGAACTTTCCTATCACTAAATCAGTATGTGCCTCTGAAGGCAAAGGAACAAAAACTGCATATTTGCTAAATCGGTCTACTATGACCATGACTCGACTTTTACCGTGCCTACTCCTGACCCCAGTATCCATGAAATCGATGTAGATTGACTCTCCGGGTCCTGATGGGATAGGCAAAGGTCTGAGAAGACCTAGAGGTGCTCTAGTCGTTGATTCATTACGCTGGCAGACTTTACAACTGCGTACATACTCTATGCAGTCCGCTTTCATGTCGGGCCAGGTATACGACATCATGAGGTTGGCCAATGTCTTTTGCCAACCAAAGTTTCCTTTCGTATCATGGCATTCTCCTAAGATCAGACTACGAATCTCCTCATTGTTAGGAATGAACAGTCTATCGACGACATTGGTCTTCTCAAACAGTAGCCCGTTCGTGGTTCGATAGTGCGGTTCACTATTTGGGGCCTCCTTTACTTTTTTCAACAACTCGCTATAAATTGGGTCTTGTGCATATGCATCTTTGATCTTTTGTTGCAGATCTGCCCCTATGTCTAGATAGTGCACTATCACACCGAAGTAATCAACTCTCCTACTCAGAGCATCGACTACCACGTTATACTTCCCTTCAATGGGCTTCAACTCGAAGTCAAACTGGTCTATCTCAGTAGCCCATCTAGTCAACTTGGGTGTCATCTTGGCCTGTTTCTTTAGCCATCTAAGAGTCTCATGGTCTGAATACACTTTGAAGTGCCTCCCAAGTAGGTAGTGCTCCCAGTGACATAAGGCCTGCCTGAGAGCTTTGAGTTCCCTCCCGTATGTCGATGCTGCAACCTTTTCTGAGGGCAGCCTGGCTGACATGAACTCTACGGGCCTGTAACCATTGCCGCCATCTTGCTGTAACACGACACCCATGGCATACTGACTAGCGTTTGTAGTGACGACAAATGGTAACGACGGATCAGCGACTTTGAGGACAGGATACTCTATCAGGGCCTTCTTAAGTTTCTTGAGGGCCGAAGTATAATCTTGGTCTCACTGCCAAATAGCTTCTTTCTTCAGTAGTCTACGTAGGGGAGCAAGTATAGTGGAGAAGTTCCTGACGAACTTCTATAGTAGTTAGTCAATCCTAGAAACGATCGCCAATCCTAGAAACGATCGCAACTCTGTTAAGGCGTGCGGAGTTGGCCAATCTCGAATGGATGCCATTTTGCTGTCCTCAGGCCGGGTACCGTCTTCGTCCAATACATGACCTAAGTGAAGGACTTTGGTCTTAGCCCATTCACACTTCTTTGCGTTGATCTTGAAGTTAGCTTCTCGTAGCTTCTCCAAGATCTGCCTGAGATGGCCCTCATGTTCCTCGAGGGTCTTGTTGAAAACTAAAATGTCATCTAAGTAGACTACTTCAAACCTGTCTAACCACGGCCTAAACAAGTCATTCATACAGAGCTGAAAAGTGGCCGGTGCGTTAGTAAGTCTGAAGGGCATCACTATGAACTCATAATGCCCGTACCTAGTCCTGAACGCCATCTTGTGCTGGTCGTCAGGGTGCACTTCGATCTGATGATAACCTGACTTCAAATCTATCTTTGAGAAGTACTTGCAACCCTGCACTTGATCTAAGAGATCGTCTATCCTAGGGAGTGGTTCTGCATTCTTTGTGGTTATGGCGTTCAGACCCCTGTAGTCTATACACATATGTACCTCTCTCTTTCTTTGGGACGAACAAAACTGGTGCGCCAAAAGGAGATGAACTAGGCC